ACAAAAACAGAAGTTGCTGGAAAAGCTCTGCAGGTCTGGCAGCATCCGTGGAGGAAAAAAAAAATCAGAGTTAACGTTTCGGGTCTGGGTGACCCGAAATGTTAACTGATTTTTTTTTCTCCACAGATCCTGCCAGACCTGCAGAGCTTTTCCAGCAACTTCTGTTTTTGTCATCTAAAACTCAGCAGTCATCTAAAACTCAGCAGTCATAATGAGTCCTATTCCTGAGTCACTTCTTTGCTCACTGACCTATATTGGTCAAGCAACATCTTTAATTTTAAAATTCTGTTTTCAAATCCCTTTTATAGCCTTGCCTCTCCATATCCCTGTAATCACTTGACATCTTTTCAAACCTCAGATATCTGTGCTCCTTTAATTCTGCACTCTTGTGCATTCCTATTCTAATAATAAATGCCTTTAATTGCCTAGGTCCTCATCTCTCAAATCCTTTCCCTAGACCTCGCTTTATTCCTCTAAAACATTATCTGTGTCGTGTTTTGTTTTGTAATCTTGCTATTAAGATGTTGGGATGTTTCATTATATTTAAGGCATAGTACAAATGCAAGAAGTTTGTCATGTTCCTTGTGTAACATCAACTATATGTGCATCCCTGAAGTTGTTTTTTTAAACTTTGGGTAGTATAAGAAATATAGATTTTAAACCATGTTTAAGGCCACATGTCTCATGAAATTAGACCTGATGACTTCAGGTAACAGAAAGCAAGATGTATAGATCTTTACTGGAGTACTAGCTGGCAAAGCATGTTTAATGCTTACCCGGCAACTATATTCTGTACCAGTAATTATATCTACATTGCCCTTGATAGGCAAGGAATAAGTGACCATGCTATTATTCCAATGACTGGAGAACATGGGCAACTCAATTGCTGCTTTCTCTTGCAAAGGTTTTGCTTTCTACGGAATGCATTAAAATGCAGCTTTTGTAATCCCTTGTAATTAAGGTAGCAATTAAAGGTTTCCCTTTAATAATAGCACGTGCTGTTTGGTCAAAGTTCTGTAGAAAACTGACAGTCGAGCTGCATCTCACTGCTGTGGATGCTATTTGCCAGGAAAGATGCCATCTTTACAGTATTAAATCAAAGGTGATAGGAACGAGAGCTTTGAACTAATTGTAAAATATTAACTTACAAGCATGTTGCTTTAAGCAGTATACCATTTTGTAAGTGGCTATTTGTTTATTCTGCCAATGAACTGAAACATTGTCATGCCATTCTTCCATAATAGGCACTCTGTTTCTTCCTGTAACAGTGGTTGAATAATTCTTGAAGTTACCTGGCATGGATGTGGTTCACACACCAACGAAAAAATGTTTTTTTTAATGACTCATGTGGAAACTTTGTGGGAGGCACAAAAGGCACTTGCATGCCATTTCACTCTTGCATTTCAGTTCTGTTGGCACAGAGTATTACCACCACTGTGTCTTCAGAAATTCCAAGTACTTTTATTTTTGGCACTTTAAGAAATGACCGTTAACTATAACATCGCAAAGTGTATGGAACAAAAAAGGTATATTTAGAAGTCCTAATCTATTCTGAAATGTTACCATAGATTTGAAAGTAACTTGCATTTTGGTTCATGTTCCAACATAGTGGAAAGTCTCTATCTTCAATCTTCATTTTTATTTCCAGTTAACTTTTTAATGCAGTTGACTCAATGCTGAGGTAATTATATCACTGGATTTGTAATTTCAAAGATCAGTATTCAAAATTTGGAGAATGTGAATTTAAATCCCATCATGGTGGTTTCAGAAAGCTCGAATTTAAAAATAGTGGTACTAAAAACCCTACATCAATAAAATTGACAGTGAAGCTGTCTAATTAACCTGGATTGTCCTCCAGACTGTATGTGACTGCAAGCCACTCAGTTACATCAAGCTACTGTAAAGGAGACAGACTGCAGGAACTCTGTGAGGCCCGTACTTGCCACTAAGTGCATCAAATGCAATAAAATCCTGAAAATGGATTTTTAAAATAACAAGTTAATAAGGATAAATACTAGTTCAGTTTAAAAACCTAGAATGCTTATACATAGCACATCTTATGCAATACTTGCTTCAGGTGAACTCAAGTGCTCCCTTCAGGCTTTCACCTTAAAAGCATAAAAGAAAGGAAGCAGCTGCAGTGAAATGGTTTCAGATGGGCCTGCCTCATACGAAGCGGGTTTCCAGGTTATGTCATTGTCATCATAATCTAATGCAATGAAGATCACAAAACAGCTGCATATCTCTGCATTCTTTCACTTCAGTTCCTGTCTGCTTGAAATGCTTTACAGCTGTATTTATTTCCAGTGCATTGCAACAGAATAACATCTAGAAAAGTTTAAAAATATAAACATTAGGAAAATTCAGTCTAGTTCACTGTGATGTTGTGATTAGTATTTCAGAAAAATAAATTGTTTACATAAACTGTTCAAACTAATTTTCAAGCACTTAACATGTGAGTTAGTTGATTGCAAACTGCGTGAACAATGGATAATACAATATGATTTTTGCAAAGCTGATTTTACCCCTTATTCCAGAGCCCTTATTCTGTACTTTATTTAATTATGGCAGTGTGAGATTTTAATTTTGTAAATCCCATTGCCTGTTATGTCAGTGCTTTCCTGTGATACCAGAACTAAAGTCATTTTGTGGCTTGAAGATGGCCACTATTTGGAACGTTTTGTTCTTAAAACCTAATGCAGTGGAATGCAGATATAAGCAATGAAGTCGAGTAGATGCAGTTTTTGGGTGCAATCAGGAACCTGATTTTGGTGTTGCATGTTCATCAGAACAGAGAAGGATGCACTTCATCAATTAATTGACCTGTATTCATCACCATTTGATTTGAGGTTTGACAGCAATCACTTTCTGCATTTTAGGAAGGAAAGAAAATGCAGACAACCTGGGGCCTGAAGCTCAGACACGCAGTGATGGTTACACAGGTACAGTCTAAATGTTTATATAATTGTTTACAATATATATTAATAACTTGGAGAAAGGAAATGAATGTACTGTAGCCAAATTTGCAGACAGCACCAGAACAGGTGGAATGTCTTTTTTTTAGAGCGGTACAAACAATTTGGAGATATTGATAGGTTACACAAGTAGGCAAAAGTTGACGTATGAAGTATAATGTGGCAAAATGCAAAAGCTATTTTGGGAAAACAAAAGAACAGTATTATTTAAATAGAGGAAAATTGCAATGCAAAGGAATTTGGGTGCACTTATACACAAAATACAGAAATCTAGCACACAGGTGCAGCAGGTCATCAGGATGGCTAATGGAATGTTGGCCCTTTGCCAAGCTGAGCTCTGAGCTGAAGATCCCTACCCTTAGGGAAAAGAGAGCCTCTTGCCATAGGGCTCTAATTTCACTGCAGCTCAAAATGCTGATGTTGTCTCTGACCTCCAGTCTGACCAGTCTTAGCAAATCATTTCTCTTTCCTGACCCTTCCCAGTATGCAATTTGCTGCTGAAATTAGAAGGATTGGGTGAATGGCTGATTTCGGTTGTTGATTCCAGTGAAACTGGATCCAACTTAACTGTTAAGTTCTGATGAAGAGTCATTGAAATTGAATGTTAACTCTGCTTTCTTCCTCCACTTGCTGCCAAGTTTCACCAGTAATTTCTGTTTTTATTTTGTTTCCAGCGTCTGCAGTTCTTTTTGTTTTAGGATTGTTTTGAATGCTGGGGAATGGGGGCAGCCAAATGGCCAACTCCTGTTTCTACTTTTGAATGTTTCCAACCTGACCTGGAAGTAGCCCCTTCCCACCTTTTTTGAGTCAGCATCTTTTCAGGGTGCACTTCAGGCTAGCTATTAAAGACCATGCAGCCCCCGCTGATCAAGAGGGCCACCACAACCCTTTAATCTCTTTTTTGCCTTGTGGTTTGGATTGGATATATTACTGTCTGAGTGCCAAAACACAAGCCAGCAACATTCTCAAATAAAATTAATATGCACCTATTGTGGGTCGTGGATCTCATTTTATGCATAGTACTCCGGTAGCTGGTGTGTTCTTATCTGACAATACTCAGCCATCCTGCCCTCCCAGAAACCTGACGAGTGCCGAGGAACCCCCAGTTGCACACGTGAGTCAGCACCTGATGCATCTCACTAAATGTATGCTCTAGCCAATAGAACCAGAAGGATGGTTAATAAGCACTTACTGGAGTAAACGAAGCAGAACTTCAGCTGTCTGGATCAGTCTAAGTGTTGCTGACTATAAATATCCATAGTAAATCTCCTGTGTCATATTAGTTGGCTGTATCCTGTACAGCTACCATATAGAGAAACCTGTACATTGAAGATGATGCGACAGTAGTCTTTGTTGGATGTGGAAAACTGATGGATATCATACAGTTATAGATGTAAACAATGAGTACATTGCTAAGCAATTCTGATGATATACTCAATTCTTACATTCAAACTCTGGACCTAATATTCTTCAAATACATTCTTCACAACTCCCTTTTCATCCTGAACATTTTCAATCTTTATTCTGATAACTTGTGTCATAATAACATGCTGGCAATGCCGACACAGCTGCTATAAAAATGCAAAACAGACCAACATGCAAGATATAAAGATATTATTCCCAAAAGTTAGAATGGTAGTAGAAAATTGGACATTTGCAGGCACCAGTGATGAGACTGTAGTTTGAAATAGTGAAGTTTGCTGCACGTTTTTAGTTGAATGAACAGATATGTGGTACAAAGACATCCTGTTTGGAAGCACTGCTGTATTATATTTTCTCATTAATCATGACTCTGCCAGAGTGAGGGAAATACTAAAAACTTACTACTTGTCTTGGTTCTCTCCCTGCAGAAGGAATGTGCTCACTAGATCAGTGGAGATGTATGAAGCTTATAATTTAATGTACATGCTGAGAGATGTAGAAGAACCAAAATGAGGTGGTGACAAATAAAGGCACGTATTTCTCATGAAGTGAGGAAAAGTTGGGACTATTAGATTTTGGTGGTAATATGTATGACAAGTCTGTTAGTATGTGGTGGATTAAAGAAGTTAAGGAAGAGGTGTTGGTGTCAGGAATGAGAGTTAGTGCCCTTATTTGTGGAAGGATGTAGTTAAGCAAAGGGAATCAGTGAGAATGGTGGAGAATGAGGTGAAATTGTGCTGTCAGGTTAAGGGTGATAGGGCCTTGCTGAATTTGAGAGCTTATTAAAACTCTTCTTGATTTGAACAGAGGTGCTGAGAATGTCAGCCACCTTTTATTCAGGTCTGCTGGATGGTGGCCGTGAAGGTTTTCATGATGACCTTAGGGGAATAAAAAAAGTACAGTTTCTCATTTCCTTTGAGGCGTTAGAAATCCTAGCAGAAACCTTGGGATCTGTATCCCAATGATGTTCCAACAGATTAATATTGAAACCTAGTCTTAATTTAAGCATGGCATTCTTACCTTTTAAAGAAGGTTTGAAAGGTAGTCCAGAAATAGTACAGAGAAAATAGCTATGTTGTCCGTTTTGTATTGTGATCAGGAGGGTGGCAATCAATCATGTTAAAATGATGCTTTGGAATTAAAATTGTTGTGGCTTCATGCTGGCAGTGTTGTAGCTTGTTACTTATTCTGCAATGCCATACATCCTCATGGTTAAAATTTCAGCATTACCTAAAATTATCAATCTGTTGCTTACTCAGCAACTTTCTGCAGCTTAAATATTTTAATCTGTTCTCTCGTCAGTGGGCAGTCAGTTGACCTTTGAGATCAGTTGGGTGCCACTGAATATCTGATCTGTAATCGTGCCACACGGTTTTGGAATTAGCAGAATAAAGTAATTTTGATTAAAACACAATTTCTAAGTATCCCATGAAAGGGAGGAAAGTAAGTAACTGAATTTGAATAGGAGAATATTTGTTGCTCTTAGTTGTACCTAGGACCTTGCTGCCTGTTTTCTGTGGATCACTTCCTATCACTTTCACATCTCCCTGAGCCCAAGTTAGGAAGCATGTGGGAAAACCTGCATGATTATTTGTTCACACTGCTGCATGCATAAATTAGTGTTTTTAAGCTATCTTTTTAGTTGATTTCTAGTTCAATATTGCAAAATATACTAATTTTCATTTTGTCTTTTGATTACTGAGAGACTTTTATAAATAGAGTTTCACTTTTTGTGTTTGTTCAATATTAGCATTGCACACAACATTTTCCATTGGTCAAATATGAAAGTTTCAATGGTGCACAATTCTCCTGTAATTGCCTGATAGTGCAACCTTTCACTTCCCCACCCCAGATTCAGGTTTAAATAAAGCGTCATTTGCTTGTCTCAGAATGAATAAAGTGCATCCTGACTTAACAGGTCAGGGATGATATAATTAATCCTGATATCAGTTTGAAATAAGCGGTGAACTGCAACATTCCATAACCTGACTCAGCTGGAATAATTGCACATTCTCACTGTGTGTGGCTTTTTTTTTAGAACTTTGTTAAACACACAACACTGGAATATAGCTCAATTCCAAATCCTTACTACGAAGAACATAGATCTAAAATCCCAAAATTAATTAGTCAATTTTTGGCAAAAAAAGTAATGTTGCAGGAATATGGTTTAAAGTTTAAACTAAGCCCATACTGTCCTGTAACTAGTTTGAAAAATTTGATAAACATTGTATTGCTTCCATATAAATGGCAGTGGTTCCTTTGAAAGGAAATTGTGTATTTAAACAGTGACAAGGTTTAAAAAAAAAGACATTCAGAACGCACCCAATTCTTGATTCATTTCTGTGTGGTTCCATGAGCTGTCTAATACGTAACTGAACTTCAGTGGAGACCCAAATTTAATAATTTAGTTGTAAAATGGCAACTTCAACATTGCAGCATTCTGTGCACTGAAATATCATTGAAATAAAATGCTGAAATTCTTGAATGAAGTTTGAAACTACAACGTCTTCAAAGCAAGAATGCGCAGCTAAACCTTTAGACACTTGCTGGTTAAAACCAAGCTTTTGGTAACTTTAAAAGAATCCATAACAATTGGTGTAGAAGTAGACCATTTTACCAATTGTCTGCTAAGTGTAAACTATAATTAGGTTTATTAAATATACATTTGAAGTAAATACGTAGATTCAAAATCATTTTAGGTTCTTTTTGGTTTGGGTCTGTGCTTTTCAATAACGTAGAATATGTTTTGATATTTCATCGAGAAGGCTGTGATTCCGAAGGAGAGAACTGCTTTCATGATTCAACTGCAGGAGATGAGCAGAACAATGAGCATGATCCAAATGTTCAAGAATACCTTCAGCAAGGAGATACTGCTGTCATTTTCCCTGAAGCACCAGAAGAGCAGCATAGACGAGGCACACCAGAAGCTTGTGGACAAGAAGAAAATGGTAACTTCATTTTTTAAAATAAAATTTAAATGATTGCCCATAACGCTGTGCATCTTTATCTAATGTCAATGTATTAGCATGGACACAGGATTGGTTAACTAACAGAAAACAAAGAGTTTGGATAAATGAGTGCTTTTCTGGTTGACGATCAGTGAGTAGTGGTGTGCCTGAGGGATCAGTGTTGAGACCACGATTGTTTACAATTTACATTGATGATTTGGAGTTCGGGACCATGTGTAGGATGTCAAAGTTTTCAGATGACACTCATCTGAGTGTTAGAGCAAAGTGTGCAGAAGACTCTGAAGGCTTGTAGAGGGATATAGATAGTTTGTGAGTGGGAAAAGGCCTGGCAGATGGGTACAATGTTGATAAATGTAAAGCCATCCATTTTGGTAGGAATAACGGTAAAAAGGACTATTATTTGTACAGTCAAAAATTACAGCATACTGCTGTGCAGAGGGACCTGGGTGTCCCTGTGCATGAATCACAGAAGGTTGCTTTGCAGGTACAGCAGGTAATTAAAGCAAATGGAATATTATCCTTCATTGCTAGAGGGATTGAGTTTAAAAGCAGGGAGGTTATGTTGCAGCTGTATTGTATGCTGGTGAGGCCACACCCTGGAGTACTGCTTGCAGTTTTGGTCTCCTTACTTGAGAAAGCATGTATTGGCATTGGAGGAGGTGCAGAGGAGACTAAGTTGATTTTGGAGACGAGAGGGTTGACTTATGAGGAGGGACTGAGTAGACTGGGATTATCATTGGAATTTAGAAGAATGAAGGGGGGATTCTTATAGAAACATATAAAATTATGAAGGGAATAGATAAGAAAGAAGCAGGGAGCTTGTTTCCACTGGCGGGTGAAACTAGAACAAGAGGGCGTGGCTTCAAAATCAGGGAGAGCAGATTTAATACTGAATTGAGGAGGAATGTCTTCACCCAAAGGGTTGTGAATCTGTGGAATTCCCTGTCCAGGGAAGTAGTTGAAGCTTGCTCATTGAATGCTTTTATAGCTAAAGTAGATAATTTTTTGAGCATTAACGGAACTAAGGATCATGGTGAGTGTGGGTAAGTGGAGCTGAGGCCACGAAAAGATCAGCCATGATCTTATTGAATGGCAGAGTGGGCTTGAAGGGCCAGATGGCCTACTCCTGCTTCTGGTTCTTATGTTCTAAAACATAATATTTCCCAGGAGGTTATTTAAATACTTTCTAAAGGCCAGATTTATTGTTGTTTATTTTTAACTTCGTGTTTGAATTTCATGAAATATTTGAATATTTCAACTGAATGCTATTGTGATTTCAAACAGCAACAACCATTTTCCTTTGTGATGGGTATGACTCTTAACCAGTGGAGAGTTTTCCCCTTGATTCCCATGGAGTACCACTAATGTCAGGGCTTTTTGATGTCACAGGAGGTCAAATGCTGCTTTGATATAAAGTGCAGTTACTGTCACTTTCCCTCTGATGTGGAGGTGCCGGTGTTTGTCTGGAATGAACAAGGTCAGAAATCTTGTTTTCAAATAAACCTGTTACACTATAATGTGGTGTTATGTCATTTTTGACCAGAGGGAAGGGTGTTCAACTCTTTACCCCAGGTTTGACTTGTGGTTGTCAGTGTGGGTAATGACTGTAGAGGAAAGTGTTCAAGCTTTTACGTTGAGTTTGACGACATTGAATCTTGAGGGCTGTAAGGTGTTGAGGCAGAAGATGAGGTGTTGTTTCACCAACTTATTTTGACCTTAACTGGAGTCTTGTAGCAGACCTGAGACCACCCCAGGTCCTGTTCTGCATGAGTTGCTCCCAGCACAGCCAACCCATTTTCAACTATTCTGAACTCCAGTTAGCAGCCGTAGAACCATAAAAATAGGCCACAGAAGATGATTATTCAGTTCATCTTGTCTATGCTGAGCCAGATGCCCTTTCTAATTCCATCTTCCTGCACATGGCCCATAGCCCTGCAGCTGACTGCATTTAAGGTGCAGATCCAAGTACGTTTCAAGAGTTTAGCGTCTCTGCTTCCACCACTGACTCGGGCAGCAAATTCCAGAGATATCCACTGTTCTTTTCCTCATCCCCTCTAAATTCTATTGCCACTTAACTTGAATCTATGACCCCTGGTTTTTGAACTCTGCCAAGGGAAACAGGTTCTTGTCTACTGTATCTCTGCCCCTCACAATTTTGTATTCCTCAGTAATGTCACCCCTCAGCCTTCTCTGTTTGAAGGAAAATAATCCCAATCTCTCCCCATAGCTACAATTCTCTGCTCTGGCAACATTTTAATAAAACTTCTCCGCGCTGTCTCCAGAGCAATTAGTCCTTCCTGTAATGTGGTGACCAAAACTACACAATACTCCAGTTGTGGCCTCACCAGTGTCTTACACAGTTTCATCGTTGTCCCTATTTTGTATTCTGTATCTCTGCCAATGAAGGAGAGTATTCCATATGCCTTCTTTAAAACCTTACCTACCTGTACTGCCACCTTTAGGGACCTATATGCTTGCATACTGAGATCTCTTACTTCATCCCCCTCTCTCAGTATATTCCTGTCTAATGTCTCTTCTGTTTTACTGTCTGACCTGCCTATGTGCATTACCTCACACTTACCAGAGTCAAACTCTACCTGCCACTTGCCTGCCCACTCCACCAACCCATCTATATCATTTTGGATCTTAAACAGCAATCCTACACACTATGCACCACATGGCCAATTTTTTGTGTCGTCTGCAAATATCCCAATTGTGTCCCCCATGTTCAGGTCTAAATCATTAATGTATAAAACAAACAGCAGAGGTCCCAACACCGAGGCCTGTGGAACGCCATTTGAAAGAGCTTTCTATTTGCAAGGGCAGTCATCGGCTGCCGCCCTTTATTTCCTGTTACTGAGCCAACTTTAGATCCAATTTGTCACATTACCCTATATCCCATGGGCTCTTACTTTTTTTTAACCAATCTGCCTCTTGAGACATTGTCAAATGCCTTTCTAGATTCCACGAAGGCAACATGCACTGTACTAACCTCATTGATCCTCCCTGTCACTTGCTGAAAGAATTCACTGAAAATTGTAAAGCATGACCTTAACAAAATCATTCTGATTGTCCCTGACTAGTCCATGCCTTTCTAAGTAACAGTTTATCCTATCTCTCAGGATTAATTCTAACAATTTGCCTACTGCTGAAGTAAGACCTAACTGGCCTAATTGTTTGGTATTTCCTTTTTACCCTTTTAAACAATGGAACCATATTTGCCTTTATCCATTCAACATTTACTTATGTCCTGGGTTGCTATCGGCAACTCCTTTGTCTGCTCTTTCTTTTTCTCTCACTTTTTCTGTCCTCTTTCCCTTTATTTTTCTCACTCCTTTTTTTTGTTTTATACGCTAAAGAATGTGGACGTCACTGGCTGGGCTAACATTTATCGCCCATCTCTAATTGCCTAGAGGGCAGTCAAGAGTCAATCACATTGCTGAGAGTCTGGAGTCACATGTAGGTAGGTAATGATGGCAGATTTCCTTTCATAGAAGACATGAGTGAATCCAGATGGGTTTTTCAGACCATCATAAATGCTTTCATGGTCATCATTAGACCCTTAATTTCAGTCTCTTTATTGAATTCAAAATCCGCCATCTGCTATGCCAGGATTTGAACCCAGGTCCCCAGAACTAATGCTGGGTCTCTGGATTAGTAGTTTAATAATAATACTACTAGGCCATTTCCTCACCCTTTTTCTTGCTGTCTTTTTTTCTCTGCGTGACATGGAGGATTACTGATTCATCAGATGATGATGTGGTGGGATGGCACATGGCAATCTGAGGTTTGCTTTCCCATGATAGACCTAATGCCATGCAGCTTCATGGGATTTTGAGTTGATGCTGAGGATTCCCAGGGCAACACCCTCCCAACTGTATACAATTGTGACTTCTACTGATGTGTCCACCAGAGTTGGACGAGGCATATCAAGGACTGTAGATGGTGTCTGGGACGTGGTCATTTTCACAAAATCATTTCTTACAGATATTGTCAGGCTATTGTTTGACTAGACTGTAGGACATCTCTTCCAATTTTGATTATAAGCCCTCAGATGTTAGTTAGGAGGATTTTGCAGGGACAGTGGGACAGTATGTGTCATCGTTGTTTCTGGTGCCTTGTTTGTGGTGTGATATGTCCTGCTTAATTCCATTGATCGGACTTTGTAGGGTATTTAAGAGTCAACCACCTTGCTGTGGATGGAGTGTCCCATATAGGCTAGGCCATGAAAGTTAGAGATTTTTCCTTTCTATAAGAATATTAGTGAACCAGATGTATTTTATGAAAATGGACAATGATTTTGTGTTTGCCATTTGACTAGCTTTTAATTCAAGGTTGTTATTGATTGAATTCAGATTTCCCCATCTGTTGTGGGATTCGTGTACATATCCCCAGAGCATTAGTCTGAGTCTCTGGGTTATTCATCCAGTGACACTACCGCTATGCTGCCACCTCTTTCAAAACTTTGATTCTCAATCTTTCTTTTGTCATCAATCCTACTCTTCATTGCTACATTTCTCTGCCTCTGTTTATTTCCATCTTTAAAAGCATTTAGAGACATGTTATTGACACAGGTCGGAGAGAGTACTGTATAGCTTGTAAAAACATCGTATTTTTTAAAGATAGTACCTTGACATTTTTGTATGCCAGCGGTTTCCTGACAGTACAATGCAAAAAAAAATTTAGACAAAGGGACAAGCCAGGTCAAATTTAAACTTGCTAACACGAGATATCATAACACGGTGAAATTAAAAATTCAATAGCCCTTCAAAATTGCCCAATTATTCCTAACCAGATTTTATGAATAACTGATATTAGATACCAAGTGTATAGCCTAAAAAGAAATTAACAATTTATTATTAATATTGTAACTTTAGCAGAGCAAAATTTAAATATAAAGTAATCTAATTAATGACGATGATTTAAACCCAGTCATCTTTGATCATAGGCCCTCAGTCAGACTGACACAGTTAAGGGATAAATTAGAAAGAAAGTAAGAGTAGTAACTGGCCAGTTCACTTGGGCAGTTTCAAAAGATGATTGCTAAACCTTCATGCAATCATTGGATAATGAGCTTCATCAAAAGTTGTCCAAGATAATGGAGCCGGCATGGAAGGATGTGTTAGGGCTCCTGAGCCCATCTGCTTCAGGCCAGCCACTTCATTCAATCTCCTTTTTCAGTTTTCATCTTTTTTTCTCTCTCTTCTGACATTGTGGGGAAGCCAGAGCAGTGTCAGGTGGGGGGGAAGGTCATCTGCAGTAGCAGTGGCGGGATCGAGGACTCCTGGCTTCGGTAGTCCTGGAGCCTGGACTTGGGAACTTGGGCCATTGGCTGTGACACAGCTTGGTGCCCAGAGTGGGACTGCGGTAGGCCCACAGTGGGGACTTGATAGTTTGAGGAGGCGAGGTCCTGACATGGTCTGGTGGCGAGGTCTGCTTGAACTGTAATGCTGAACTTCTTATTTCTTTAGTTTTCTAATTTAGTTACTAAGATCCTGTGCCTAGGTATCATTGAACCTAAGATGGTGCTGTAAGTGGTGACTTTGTAAACTGTTCACTGAACTCATGAGTACATGTGACAATAAACCTGTTTCCAATGAGTTCTTCATTGGCATGTGGGACTGTTTGTCTTAATTGAATTTCGAAGTCACTGGGTCAGTGCAATTTTTACAGACTGCTGGAGACTAGTGTTACAAAGTAGGGTTCTTTTCTCAGAACTTTTCAATAATTCGATAACTGGAAGATAACTAACGAGCGACCACAACTCTGTTTAGCAGCTTTTACATCTTCACTGCCTTCTGCCTAAAAAAGTCTAAACACGTTTACTCTTTGGGTTTCTCTTCTTTTTCAATATTTTCTTTGTTTGACTGGTCAGCATTGGCCTCCCTTTAATTGACCTTTTTAACATCCAAGCAGCTGGCACTTGTTGAGTTTCATACGTCTCAGGAGCTGAAAGATCTGCAGCGTTCTTGGAACATTGATCAACGTGCAATTGAGAGTAGTTGCTCAAAACTGAGCAAAGAAAAATGCATGTCCAAACATAATATGTTCTATGTTGGGAGATAATTAATTGCACAGTCAAAGAGCATTTGGTGCCCCTGTAAGTAAAGATCAAAAAGATGCAAGTGTTTCTTTTCTGTAGATGGGTGAGCAATACCACAGTTCATCCACTGAATTAAATTAGAGTCTTTGCATATGGTATCTGAAGCCCTTGCATTCAAAGTGCCAGTTGCTGTATTCTGACGCTGTGAATGCATCACATCTTCATTTTCTGATTTGTACAGTTTAAAAATACAAGTATTACAAAGATAGCCTTTGATAGAAATCCAGTTTTGAACAAAAACTCTGAACAGCTTAATCATATCCTTGTTTCGTATATCCCTGCCTGTATTAAACTGACACAAATCAATTTTTTTCTGAAGTCTAAGTGGTTTCATCTTAATTTCTCCACTCTGCTGCATATTTTAGAATGAAATTACACTAAAGATTACAAAATGTGCAGCTGATTTCATGATCAATGCTACAGGTAATGAATTAGCAACTAGAAGAAGTGCTCTAGAAGCTGTGTAACAGGAAAAGTAAACCTTGTATGTAAACAACAGTTTATCTATGTTGAACTGAATGAATGCGAGGAAACTAATATAACTGCATAAATATTGTAACTGCCTAATTGAATGTAGATGCCATGCTTGAGTATTGTAGAAAAAAAAAAGCTTCATCTTGTGCTCATCAGGACATTAGAAAGAGTTACCAAAGTAAAGGAGACCAACTTTTTACTCTTTACTCTTTAAGAACATCTGGCGACACTTGCCATTTGCAGCTGGTATATTTGGCCAACCCCCTTTGTGCTCTCGGATCGAGTGCTTGGCTGGCTCCCTGGGCAGCCACAACTGGACTGTGGATCTCCCAGGAGCAGATGATCTGCCATTGCTGTAGTGGATAAAGCAGAAGGCCTTGCTTGCCCTGTGTTTGAAAATATCATTTGACAAATGAATTATTGACACTCGTGGCAGAGGAGAAGATGCTGAATTCTGGGTGGACCTGCTTTAGCACCTCGTAGACACAGAAGCTGTAGTTCTCCTTCCAGTGCTTTACCTGGCCTTCACAATTCTTGGTTGCTGCTTTTTTGGAAGCCTTCTTGGGGCCATGCCTTTGACTGTCACTTAAGGCATGTTGTAAGTAAAGGTAGAGCATTGTGAAACAGCTTTTTATACCGTATGAGAAGACAGTGCTGATAGGTAGAAGTGGTGTCATGGAGAAACCAATCAGAGCCACTTGCCAATCAGTCTTCATGCTGTATAAAATGTTGTTGCCCTTTACATTAGTATTCCTTGCAAATAACTTGGTCAGTGCAAGACAAAAGGCTTTAATTTATGTTTCCGTCTCCTCCCGTTCTGTATGATCATTCAGCTAAAGCTATGTTGGCCCTTTTAAAGGTTGTGGTACATTTCCTGCGGTATTCTAAAATTGGTTTCTATTGCAAAGGTAAAAGACACCTTCACTTGGCTAAGTCACAAACAAATACCATGAGCATTTTAATTTTTAACTTTTGGATGCAAGCTACACAAGCTATAATATATATATTTGCAGTATAACTACAAGCTAAAATGTGGGTAACATTTATTTTAACTAGGGAGGAGGGAAGAAAATCTGGGTACCATCCATGTTTGTGCGTGATTTATTTGCAAGTATTTGATCAAATCTATGTATTATATGTCTAATATCTATAATTGCCCTGAGCAATTGTGTTAATTCGATTATCTTGTTTTTATTTTTCTAATACAATTTTCATCGCTTTGGAGCCATAATATTAAACAAAAGCCTACAGTAGTCAGTTCCATCTTAGAAATATCTTAAAATTGAAGATTTACCTGGGTGTTATTTCATGTTTTTAGGAACACCAGATGCTTTTGCTCAGCTACTTACCTGCCCATATTGCGATAGAGGCTACAAGCGCTTGACTTCTCTCAAAGAGCACATTAAATATCGGCATGAAAAAAATGAAGACAACTTCAGCTGCTCCATTTGCAGCTACACTTTTGCTTACAGGACACAACTGGATCGTCACATGGCTTCACATAAGTCAGGGCGAGATCAGGTAATATGAAAGTGGCAATTAAATATTCAGGTATAAGTCATATTAGCAAGTGCCATTAATTATTTATCCTGTTTCTTGAACCCTGCTGATTGGTAAGGCAAGTTCACCACCATAACTCAAAATATGGAGTTGTCTCATTTCGCTGTGGGATTTTCTTTTTCCAAAGTTAACCTTTGTCTCAGCCCACCATTTTTGGAACCTGTCAATTCTTCTGTTACATCCAGACTTGTATTCAAATACTCTGCTGTTTTGGTTTACCAGCTTTCACCTACTGTAAATAAGCTCATCCAAAATTCTGCTCATATCCTAACTTGCAAAAAATTCTGTTCGCCCTTCACCCCAGTGCTCACTGAAGTACATTGGCTTTCAGTCGTATAACACCTTGTGTTTTAAAATTTTCCTGTTTGTGTTTAACTTCCTCAGTAGCATGTTTATGTCAATTTTCTAGTTCTGGCCTTTGTATGTTGCTGATTTCCTTTGCTCCATGATTGTGCCCTCTGCCTGATCTACTGAGCATTTCTACCATAATGTTTGTTTTTAATTTTTTTTTTAAAAAAAAGCTCATCATGTTTTGAATTTATTCAATTCTCTTCTGCACTGTCTAACTTACCGTACTGTATTTGGTTATCTCTGTCCTGCGTAGTGTGGAATGTTGACTGACCAATCCCTCTGTAAAGTGGCTGCTTTTTTTTTTTGGTTTATTCTTTGTGAGATGAGGACGTCCCTAAATGTCCTCAAACTGATTTTGCGTACTTTGCCTTTTCAAGGGATGATTAAGAGTCAGTCGTATTGCTGTAAGTGTGAAGACACATGTAGGCCAATCCAAATAAGGATGGCACATTTTCTTACCTGAAGGGCATCTGGTTTGAAGTGAATCTTGAAGATGGCAGTATTCCAATGCGTCTGCAACCCTTTCCTTTCTGGGTGGTAGCGGTTGTGGGTTTGCTTTCGATAGAACATTTGCTGAGTTGCAACAGTGCATCTTTATTTATTGTAATATTGCTAATATGTGTTGGTAGTGGACGGAGTAAATGTTGGAGGTGGTGCCACAGTTATCCTTCAAGCAGACTTCTTTGTCCTTGGATGGTATAAAGCTTCCTGAGTGTTGTCGGAGCTGCACTCATCAAATTGGAACTCAAGTTCAATTACTGCCTGCTAACTTCCAAACCTTGACTTGCTCTTGTAGCCACAGTATTTATATGGCTGCTTTTGTTATAATTTGCTTGTACACTCTCTCCTGCCCTTCTGCCCACCTTTCCTCCTGCCCTCCTTTCTGCCTCCCACCTGCCCTCCTTTCTGCCTCCCACCTGCCCTCCTTTCCGCCTCCCACCTGCCCTCCTTTCCTTCCACCAACCACCATTTGATTTTAAGCATGCTTTATAAATAATTAAGGTGCCAACATGTTAAAAAGTGAACTTGATTCCTATCTGGAGATCTGTTGTTTGTTTTTATCATTTCTCAGGGATCATTTCCCTTAATGCAATTTTTTAAACTATCATTGAACAACTCTATGGAGGATCCAGCATAATAGTATCGGGGTCAGATGGGATTCTCATCTGTGGGATTTCCTGTGGAGCTGCTTATTGATGCTTGTATCTCGCGCCAGCTGGGCAGTTCCCTACAGACTGGAGGAATACGAAATGGCTGGTCTCTATGGGCAAGAGTATAGATAAAAATAGCTTGCATTTTTACAGCATATATTGTGTGAAGCAGTTCACAGCACTTGAGAGGGGAAGTAAAGGTGGTAGGTAAATTACACAGTTGGCTAGCTTTTAAGAAGGCTTTTGAACAATGGGAGAAAGTAGTATGTTGAAGTACTTATGGGAGACAGCTGCTAAGAACAAATTCGTAGTGACTGAAAGGTTGGCTTCCAGTGATGGAACTAAAGGAGTACTAATGTAGACTTGGAGTGAAGAGAATAGAGTGCAGTAAATAAAATTGCTGAGATCAAAAACGGAGATTATGGAGAAATTTGAAAAGGTGGCAAAGAACTTTGTAATCTGTATACTGAGGGGCACAAGAGATGGTATAAAATGGGCAGGTAGTTGGTTGGAGGATATTGTGACCACATGGTATAGGCAGTAGAATTGGAGGTTGGATGAGGAAGGAATACTCTTTACAAGAATATCTCAGAAATCCATGAAATGATGGATTAGAGTAACAATTGCTGAAGGAAAAGGGCAGAGTGAAATTGAGCAGTGTTAGTGGTTCTTGAGTGCAACCTTGATCACTAAGTTTATTTGCTAACTGCAGAATATGAAATATTCATACAGATGCTGAGGGTTGGAATTTCTTACCAAAAACAGCCCATCTTTGAATTGTATTGAGAAAGGAAAATGAAATACTACTGTCATATGTTGAATCTACAGCGAAAAAATCCCAGGATATTTTTGAGCTGTTCAGTTGACTGTGCAGCTGCAGTCCCTACTTGTATCAATGAAGGCATGTTATCAAGACCTGGTTGTACCCAATATTTTACATTGCCATTTTCCTACTATCAGGAAACACTCATGATATAATAGTGTCAGTGGGCATGGCTCAAGTTTTGCTATAAATCTGCATATCTACCAAAAACTGCCACAAACTAAATAACTGAGCCTTCTGGTAGTTATGGAAATTGACATCATGTGAAAGATTCTAGTGCAGAGTTAAACATTCCAATAAATGATTTGGAAGTAATGGATTTCCTGTTAGGAATTGATTTGACCTCATTCACAAAAAATGAACACACAGAAGAGGTTTTCATCACTGTAGCAAAGCAATAAGTGTTTTCTCTAGATTCTAGCCTAGTTGCCTAAGGTAATTCATATGTATAGGTGTAATGAGCTGGATTTTTATTTCTGGTTTGTTTTTCCTTACTGTTGGGGAGGATTTTTCTTCCCTACCTGGTATGCTGATAATAATGGCAAATTAATTACTTAATTGTGCAAGGGTGATAAAAAGACATTCTCATCATTGAAATAACTTCACCAGATTTAGTTCTTGAGGAATAGGTGGCAAGATCAGAATCTTTCTCACTAGTGAGAAGTTTATTTCCATACATTTGTATCTCATTGATACTCTTCCACCATATTAACATTGCACTTCCAATCTTGCCTCCACAATCGAGAAACTCTGGGTGCAACACTCAACAGGAACAGAATTTTTATTAAAAACCGCAAGAACCGAGCATGCTGTAAACCAGAGACAGAAGTAGAAATTACTGAAAAAGCTCAGCAGGTATGGCAACATCTGTGGTGAGAAATCAGGATTAACATTTCGGGTCAAATGATCCGTTCTGAGGATGTATTTATTAACCATTGAGAAGGTGGTGGTGAGTTGCTTTTTTGAACCATTGCAGTGTTTGTGCTGTAGGTAAATCCACAGTGCTATCCCTTCTAAATAGAAGTGGCCATGGGTTTGGAAGGTGGGTACTTGGTGACTTGTCTCTTTTGAAACCCTAGGAATGATTGTGCTGACCACCTAGCTTAATTTCACATGAAACAACTTGTACACAAGATCTTTCCGTGGTCACTGCCCCACACTCTTCCTGGATGTTCCATCCAGGCAACCTAGTATTATCAAAGCACCAGCCTCTCAGTTATATCATGCTTGGTCTTGACCCAACTCAGCTACCACTGTACAGCTTTGCAGCATGTACTTTAGAGTTGAGTGACATCCAGGGCACTCTTTTTGGCAGGTTGCTTTACACTGAGAGACAGCCAACCATCTCATGCACCTATGCAGGATTTTTTTGTGCTGTCATGAAGAAAGACACCTGGGTCTTTGTTTTTTGGTGCACAAGGTCTTTTCCACTCACTTGGAGGATAGCCATCCTCTGTGACTGAGCTTTCCCTTAACTCAAAGGCAACTTGAAAGCTTCGGATGCGATGTACCAGCAGCTCATTTTCGGGAGCAACTGGGGACCTTTGTGGCCTCACCCAATCCACTCACGTGAATCTAGAACGTTACTGATGCCGTACTGAAGAACCTACCTTGTCGTCATTTTGAGGTTAACTGAGTAGAGAGTCAGACAGCTAGGGCATTAGGATTCTCGATTACTGGGTTTCCTAAGTGTTATTAATTGCATTCATGTTGCTTTGAAAGTGCTCAGTCACCAACCAGCAGTTTTTTTTTGTGAATAGGAAAGGATTCCACTCCCTATTAAAATAATTTGTGATTATTAAAGTCAAATTTCAGAAGCCTGCACCAAATATCCTGGGAGATACCGTGATAAAAGTCGAGTCACCATAGTCCGGAGGACTATAAGGCTGTGCTGTTATTAAAGACGACAGGTGATGGTTTAACTTGAGGGTCACCTTGCCTCAGGTGAGGAGTGAGTTTGAGAAGGGGGAAGAACCTTCATGGTAACCTCAGCCCGTGTGGGAAATGAACCTGCAATGTTGGTGTCACATTTCATTGCAAACCAATCGTCTAACCAACTGAGCTAACTGACCCCCTTTGGGAGATGCCAAGACTCATTATATATTTAGCACTGTCTGATGCCTGCCTTTCTGAAGCCCTTAGACTATACAAAGATGGCTGCTGGGAGACCAGGGATATCCATTCCAAGCCTGGCTCATGATACGTTTAAGAATCCACAGATTGACGGAGTACAAAGGTACGGTGCTGTTCACCCTTACACCGGGACCATAAGGATTCCGACCTAGACCTTATGATCTGCCCAGGGATCTTCAAAGAATCACTACAGTATGGAAACAGGCCATTTGGCCCATCAAATCCACACTGTCCCTCTGAAAAGCATCCCAGCCAGACCCATTCTCCTACCCTTGCATTTCCTATGTCTAACCCACCTAACCTAAACATCCCTGGGCACTATGGGCAATTTAGCATGCCCAATCTACCTACCTTGCACAACTTTGGACTGTGGGAGGAAACCAGAGCAGCCGGAAGAAACCCAAGCAGACACAGGGAGAATGTGCAAACTCCACACAGACAGTCGCCCGAGGGTGGAATTGAACCCGGGTCCCTGGCGCTGTGAGGCAGCAGTACTAACCATT